CAAATATTTCAAGCGTCATCTGGATTCTATTACAATCTCAAAGACAACATGATATCTAGGAAAGCGTTTATATGTAAAAATCATTTTAAATCAGCCAGTGGTATAAACTCATGTCCAGACTCCATTACCCCCAGATTTCATATAATTATATTGCCTTTTCTTTAACTCTGAAATGATACTTTCTCCTTTGGCACAGAGTTCCTTTGGCTCCACGTCTGATGCCAATGTAGTCTCACTGTGAAAACAAATTAGAAGTAGGTGGTCTGGTTAGTCTTCACAATGCTACATTTTAATCAGGCAAAGCAGTGGAAGGGAAGGCTGTGGAAATGCTGGCGTATCTTCAAACACCAGTGCACACTGTCCATTTTACTCACAATGAAAACGCTCTTCGGGAGATTTCGATAACGGTCCCCTCCTACTCGGAGTCCACATTTGTAATGTTTACATAAGTGGGGGTTATAAATCTTCCTCCAATAGACCCCACGGTCTCTAAAGCTGACTTCTTGTTATAAACTGCCTCTTTCCGTTTTGCCTGCCTAAGCAGGGCAGGCAAAACCCGTTGGCCAGAGACTGGAACTAATTTAATGTGCTCCAGGTTTAAGCCCCTAGCCTGTGCGCCTTTACAGGGAGATTTTACACAGTGGATTACAGCTGACTTTAACAATGATTCATATGATAAGTGGGTTTCGATTTGTTTTTTAATGTCTGAAAATATGCATTTGCAAAGGACGTGTCATTAAATAATTTTGTTAAAGCAATACCCATTTAAAAAAAAAAAGGAAGGGAAAGAATTCAACTTTTCATCAAAATAAAAGTCTATATCTTACTTATGCCGAAGGCTTGTGCACATGAATTTAAGATTCTACTATGAAAACTAAGACAAAGTTGTTCATAGACAGTTAAGCCTGGACGAGCTCCAAGACATGATTGGTTAAACTGATACACTTTACCACAAGGTTTGCTCCGATTATTAAAATCACTAAAGCCACCGTGAAAACGGACAAAAGCCCTGTTCTTTCCAGCCTCAAAGACTTCCTGTGTGCTTTTTTCAAAGATGCGACATTCCTTGAAACAAGCACTAATTGAAACAAAAACACCTTCACAAAACCTCCAGTACCATCCGTTGGGAAAAGAATGTTTTCTCTGTTTAACTTAGCAACAGCCTGACTTAAAAAGGCAAACCCACACACAAAAGCCTGGATTACACTATTGTTCTGGGTTTCTGAACTGAGGGGGCCTATACTACTCTCTAGAACGTGCTTTCTAAATATCAAATGTAATAAGACAGACTTGTCCCCAAGCTGTTGGTTTTCCCCTTTTTCTTTTTTTTTCCCTCTTGAGGTTCCCTTCAAAGGGCAGGGCCGAGTCTTACAGCAGGGGGCAGTGTTGCACCACCTTGCTCTCACTCGGGAGAATCAAGGCCAGACCAAAGGAGGAAAACAAAACAACGGCCATTATTCTTCATTAAAGCTCAACCACCCTAGCATAATTACCCTAATTTATTACAAAATTTCAGAGTTCTCCCTTGTAGTCCAACCTGCCTTTTTACCACCTACATACCATATGAAGATGTTTTAAGTGATACAAAAACAAATGCTTTAATAATAAAACCAAATCTACGCAAATATCTGAGACATGGCTGATTGCTGTTCAACAGTTGAACTATTTGTTGAATGTCATATTTCAAAAGCACGAAGACTTCTCCAATTGCAAATATCCAGATGTCCTTTATTGTAAATATAATATCACATTGGGAGATGGTTTAAAAAATGAATGACTATTTCATCTTGGTCTAAAATGAAATGCAGAGTTGGTTTATAAAACACAAGTCAATGTGACCCTTGCTAATTAGATGTTAATTTTTAAAATATGGGGTAAGAAAATATTTACAAGTACAAAAATGTCTTCATATCTTCCAGAAATAAACTTTTTCTTCCATCTTCTGGGATGGTTCTTGGCTGGCCTGCTAGGAAGTATGGAAACTGATACTTTGTACTGCATGCTTGCTTCCCAATATTTACACTACTTTGAAGCCTTGAGTGGGAGGCAGAAGGGGCAAAGCCTTTCCCAGGTCCCAAGAATGTGTCACAGTAATTTTAGTTACCTTACATAGTAATTTTATTTACACACACACACACACACACACACACACACACACACACACACACACATCTCAATACAATACTACAGACTTGAATAAAACTTTTATTTAATGTTTGAAAACCTAAAGGCTAATAAACAAAACAATTCATTATTTGATTTTTTTAAAAAGTCAAGTGTCTGGAGAGATGGCTCAGCAGTTAAGAATACTTACTGCTCTTACAGAGGACCCAAGTTCACTTCTCTGCATCCATATCAGACAGCTCACAAGCACCTGTAACTCTACTTTCAGGGGCAAGTCTGATGCCCTCTTCTGACCCTTCCTGGTAACTGCAGGTATGTGGTACACATAAACTTATGTAGACTACACACACACACACACACACACACACACACACACACACACACAGAGAGAGAGAGAGAGAGACAGACAGACAGACACAGAGAGAGAGAGAGAGAGAGAGAGAGAGAGAGAGAGAGAGAGAGAGAGAGAAATTTGTGTGTTTATTCATTTAGTTAGTTAGTTTTACATCCCAGTCAGTTTCCCCTCCCTCCCCTGTTCCCAGTACATTCCCCTTTCCTTCCCCCACACCCCATCCACTGCTCCTCCACTGTGTGACACGGAAATGTTTTTAAAAATAAATAATTAAAATCAAACCTCCCACAGTCTTAGCAAGTTATTATCGTTGTCTTCAATTTCAACTTTAAGATTTGTTTTTCACTTGATTAAGAAATAAGGTTGAATTTAAACAAAAATTATTTTATAATTTCATAATTCCACTGGGAGAAAAACCATTAAAACCCATTGCTTTAGAGATATATAAGCTAATGTTTTAAAATGTACAAAGGAACTCTAAAAATACAAAAAAAATTGTTGAAACATCAGAAGCCAGTAAGAACCAACCCATAGAATCCTATTCCAGTGCTGTAGCTTGGAGGTTTCAGCGCTCTGTTATGCTGTGGCGTGTTATGTTCTTGGGCACTTCTTTGTTTGATATCGTCCGGGGGGTGTGCATGCACCAGATTTGCTTCCCGTTTCTACGAGACTCCTCCCTCCACATGTGCTCTGCTTTTTCACCAAAGTCTTTGCAGTTGGGATAGGCTCTTTTTCAAGACTTAACAGAAACACTGGCCCTATAATTACCACTAAATTTCCTGCAAATTGAGCTCAACATGTGAGCTGCCAGATGGGACATAATTCTTCATAATTATTGCAAAAAAAGGGCCTGTGACAGTTGCAACAAAGTAATTGGCTAATGGAAGAGCATTTCCCCAGGTATGCATTTTCCCAAAACATCTGTTTGAAACTCTGGGTCATTTGAAGAGTCCCTAGAAAGTCCCATCTTCTAATTAGCTTCTCACCAACCACAGTATCGCTGCCAAGACTGTTTGGAGTCAGGTGAGGGGTCAAGGCTCTTCTGTAGTCAGGCTGATGCAAGGGTTCCGCCCTTCTAAAAGCATGTACTTATTTCATCTCCCAATAATGGCTCGGAGATGGAAAAAAGGGAGCATTTTCTCCTGAGAAGAGCATGTTTTCCTTATTATTTCCCCATCAAAAGGAACCTGTGCAGACTACACAGATGCTTACCTTTTTATCTCTCTTCCTTTTTACACATCTTATGATGAATGAGGAGATGACTAGAAACAATGAAGAAGAAACTTGGCATTGTAGGAAATAGTAAGAAATACATTTTGGCTTTGTCTCTGATTCCTAACAAAGAGCTCCTAAAACCCCCTATAATTTCCTGAAATAGAAGGATCTTCAGGCTCATGCGAGATGGCTTAGTGGTTAAGAGCGCTTGTTGCTCTTGCAGAGGATCTAGGTTCAGTGTCCAGCACCCACATGGTAGTCATCAACCATCTGTAACTCTAGCTCCGGAAGATCTGAGGCCTTCTTATGACCTCCTTGGACACCATGCACACACATGGTGTACATACATACATGCAAGGAAAACATTCATACACGAAATAAATCAATGAAATGTGTTCAGTGTCTTCAGTTACTCCTACAAGCCTCCTTTGAATGCACACGAGCTTACACTAATGCAGGAACTACTGTAGGACCTCTAGATGAGATCATGATGAGGTTGGTCACCAGAAAGATCAAGTATAATTGAAGTCCTAGACTCCCATATCCATCCACCAATCAATGGGAATATGAGGACTGAAGACCAGGCTCTACAAGAGCTCTTGAACAAGATTTCATGACCTTACGGCTTAAACACAGGGACTTGCTGGGGCAAGTCACCTACAGGGAAAGGGCATGAAAATGTTCTGCCCTTTGCCTTGTCTTCCTTTGGCTGGTTAGGATGTGCATTCTTTATAACAATAGACATAGATATTTTCTTATCTTCTAAAACTTACACCAACAAATTATTGACATGAAGACAGTGCTCTGGGAACCACTGCTTTATGCTCAACTGGGCAAAAGAAAGAGTGGTGCAGGGCTTGTGCCATATCTCTGAAAGGGGCAGTTCTGTGGGCTGAGCCCTTGGAAACTGTCATATCTGACACTGAGGCCACTAAGGTGTCCAGAGAACTAGAGCCTAGGTTAGTGTGAGAAAAATATCCCCAACATATATTTCCAGAGTATGGACAGCCTGAAGCCAGACTGCCTCCCAATTATCAGTGACAGGGTATCTGAACAGACTAATCAGCTTTGGCTGTCACACCAAAAATACTGTAGATCAGGTGGCTTTGACAACACAAACTACGTTTTCTCACAGTTTTAGAGGCAGGATTTCAGGTTAGTCAGATGTGAGAGAGAGTTCTTTGCTGTAGATGTTCCCACACAGAGTAGAGAAGGAGAACTGCTACCTCTTCTGATAGAGTACTAATCTTGTCACAGTAAGGGTCCCATTGATGTCATGACCTCACCTAAACCTAATGACCACTCAAAGGCCTCATGTTATCACAACTTTACCACAGTAGATTTGGTGGGTGGAATCCAGGTCAGATCACAGCATAGTGATCACTAGACAAAATTAAAAATCCTGCTCATAATGAGGGTTAGCTCTCCCAGCCAGGGGATGGATAATCCTTCTGGACCTGAATGTTTCACGCCAGACTATTAGAAAGCCGGTGAACTTGGGTAAATGTAACGCATGCAGGTTTTACTCCCTATTCAGCAATGTCCATCCTCTTCTGATCTTGCAACCTCTAAACTCACCCTCAACAAAAGTCCAACAAGATACAGGAAGTGCTAAAAGAGGAAACTGAACATTACAAACTATTAACAGGACTGCAAATGAAAAAGAAAATGTACTGTAGCACCCCGACTTAAATCACAGCTGGAATGAAAGCTTATGTGCTGTCTCCATGACTAATAGCAGATCTCCTCTACTCATAGGGAAAGCAATAATCTGTTCCTGGAAACAAGCCTGCAGCTTCCTGTTTGGAAAGGCAGAAGATAGTGTAAGCACTCTGCTAATAATCAAAAGAGTTTGCCTCCATCCCATGCAGAGTCTGCTTTAGACAAAGTGTGTTCAGACCAAACCCTGTATTTACTACTGGAAGATAAATGGAGATAAAAAGTACATTCTGTCTTAACAATATCAATTTAATTTGCATTATGCCCTGTATAGCTTCTAATAGTCCCAAAATAACAAACAAAGGCACATGTATACCCAAATGGTCAATGAGCTCCCCTGAGAACTCACCAGAACCATGTAAACTCACCCTATATGTCAAAACTTTAAAAATCCAGTAAAGTTTTGAGTATTTGCTAGAAAAGAAAACTTTTACCATCATTTACAATTACCAGGAGCTTGTCTCTTAGAGTCAGTGTGGTCAAATCGTCCTTTCAGTGGGATTTGACTCCAATGAAATAAGTAGGAATAATTGAAGATTGCAAGTACCATGGCAATTTTAGAAAGATAAAGGAATTCGAGTTTCTGGTGGCAAATTGAATATGAACATAAGTATACTACCTTACAAACACTACTAAGAATAGCAAAATGAAACCCAAAGCTTTAGTCTTTATCTTTTATTTTTTAGTAAGGCATCCTAAGAACACGAAGTGTAGAAGAAATGGTAACAGGAAACTTTCTGAAACTAAAACCAACTAGATGGATGTTAAAGCAGTCACAAGGAGAGAACAGAATTCCAGCTGCTGGAGAAGCTGAGAAACAGACCTGGGGGCACTGGAGCAGCCTCGTGAGGCAGGTGAAGGCGCTCTGCAGTGAGGAGGGCACTGAGGTAATGATGCAGATGTAAAGGTAGCCAGGCTTTCCTACTCCATGCCAGATACGGGAAGGTCACTCTGAAGGATATACCTAGCTCAGGAGGAAAGTCTGTACTGATTCTAATGGTTCAACAGCATATCATCCACCTGATGCCATGTATGTATCCAATTCTGATCAAGCACAGACCAAGAAGCCCACCAAGACCTCATCGTGTTCAACCAGCTACATTAGATCTTTGCTCTTACAACTGGAAAGAGTCTACGTCTGAAAAAAGCTGTTAACAGGCAAGATAGAGACTAGAACAACTTAAAAATAAAACAATGTAAAAAATCACACAGGAAAAAGTTACAAAAATTACATCTGAAGATGAAAAGGAAATACTGTATCTGTAACAAAATAAGCACTTGTTTGTTTGTTTGTTTATCATGGCACACATATAGAAGTCCGAGAACAACTTCCAGGAGTCAGTTTTTGCCTTTCACCCATGTGGTCCTAGGGATTGAACTCAAGTCATCAGGCTTGGTCCAAGTGCCTTTACCAGCTGAACCATTACACTGCACATCCCCCAGTAAAATTATTTATTCGTTGAGGTTAAAATATAATTATATGATTTCCTCTTCCACTTTCCTCCCTCCAAATTCTCTCATTTACCTCTCCTTTTTCTCTTTCAAATTCATGGCCTCTTTTTCATAAAGTGTCATTGCATACATGTATGTATACAAATAATAACACAGAAACACATAAATAACCCCTGCTCTGCATGTATATTTTCAGGGCTGACCATTTGGTTTTGGATAACCAACTGGTGTACTCTTCCCTGAGAGACGATGTGCCAACTCTCACCATTCCTTGGTTGCCTGTAGTTGTTTGTGTAGGGGTGAGGCCAAGCGGGCTGTCCCCTGTCCACTTTAGCATGTCTACTGTTGTCCTTGTTCATCTCATATTTACAGTCATTAGAATCTTTATAGGTGTAGTTTCTGACATTACTAGAGACTCAATCTCCCAGCAAACTTCCCAATCCCCTGGCTCTTACAGTCTTTCTACCTCCTCTTTCTCAATGATCCCTGTGCTTTAGGTATGGGAGTTGTTTTATAGATGTATCTGTTCAGACTGGACTCTATAACTCTGCATTTTGATTTGTTGTGGTTTTCTGTACTGGTCTCAAACTGTTGCAAACAGAAGCTTCCTTGATATGGGGTGATAAATACACTTATCTGAGGTTATAAGGACAAATATTGAGAACATAGTTAGTGATTATGCTGATGTAGTAAAGTAGTGGTTGTAGGTTCTCCTCCAAGATCCATGACTTCATTAATCTGGGGTCATTGGCTAGGTTTCCAGTACTAGGTATGATTTCAGTTCTGTTGAGCAGGTCTCAAGTCCAATCAGAGAGTTGTTGGTTATTGCCAAGACACACATGCCACTACTTCATACTTAGGGTTATAATGCCACGCTAGTCATTGTTGAGGTTCACAGGCATTACAGCTGGAGAGACTATTGGTTGCCTTTCTCCTTTGGAAGCTTGCATAGTATCTTCTCATATCATGAAAGCCAGTCCTCGAAGAGGAGACTTTCTACTCAGTTCCAGTGCAGGAGCCTCTGGTCCCTGCATCTGAAGTGCACAGTGTCTTCAGCAATAGGGACTTACCCTCTACCTCTGGGGAAAACTAAGGGCAACAGCAATAGCCTGTAGTGTTGGGCAGTCTCTTGGAAAACCCTGATCAACTCAAAAGAGTCAGGCCTGGTGTTGGGGTTTTTGTTGATGGTGTTTGGCTCTTAGAGGGAGCTTTGTCAGCCCATAGTTAGAAAATTTCATTTAAAGAATGTATGTGTATTTATATGCAGACTAGAATAAAATAACAGCAATTATATCTGAAAAAGTCATAAGTAATCATACTATTAACCATCTACCCTTAAAAAAACCATAATACCCTCATTTTTAAATATTCAGAATATAGACATATATACATGCATTAAAAATAAAATCTGGGAATGGTGATATGAATCTATAATCCTAGTACCAGAAGGCAGAATGGGTAAGTTTCTAGAACTTACTGGCTAGCTAGCCTAGCTGAATTGGTGAGCTCCAAGTTCAGGGAGAGATCCTGTCTCAAATAATAAAGTGGAGAGTGACAGAAGATGACATCTTACACTGACCTCTTGTACACACATGCACACACACACAAAAACAAACACTGAAATGCAGTCAGAACAAGGAAAGAGGTAAGTTGTTTGCAGAAAATGCATGTAACTGGAGATTATGCTAACCAGACTCAGACTCAGACAAGTAACTCATGCTTTCTCTCCTGTGTAGACTCTACATTTTACATGATGTATAAAATAATGTGTATATATCCAATGAAAGTAAGAGACACTTTCTCTAGCACTGAAGGGAACTAACAGGAGTGGGATGGGAGAAAACAGAGAGAGCATGGAGGGATGGGGGACCCAGTGAAATTCCATTATATACTTTGTAAGAATACATGTACGAAAAATGTCCTTACAAAGCCCAGCACTGTCCACAATGAGTACGTACTCATAATAAAAAGAAACTGAAAAAGAACACAGGCCTACCTCATGGTTTTAATATATCATTATGACATTTCAGAAAACATACAACAAATTCAAGACCCTGCTAAGTTTCCATTAAGAGGGAAAAATGTGTTTCAAAGGATTAGGAACCAGAACAGGTTCAGCCATCTCAAAAGCAACACAGAAAGTTAGAAAACAATGGGGCAATGTTGTCAGACCTCCAGGATTGTTTCCCGGTTCGACTCTAACTGAACTGTGTCCACCAAATCAAGGCAGTAAGCCAAGAAAGATAAGGGTAATATGTGACAGAACGTGACTCTACCCTAGGAAAAATGCAAATGAAATCTGAAAGATGGCCGAACAGTGATGATTCCCAGGATGAGAACTAGGCACAAACAGAGAGAAGAAAGTTTAAAATAAAAAGCTCCATCCCTAATGCGACTAATTTCACACAAAAGTATAGAACCAAAAATGGCTGCTGAAGGATGTGCAAAAATATAAATATATATAACATAAACTTACCAAACTGTAAGTATTTACTAATTTAAGAAAAACAGAAAGTAACTTTCAAAAGGGGTAATTAGGGGATGGAGAGATGGCTCAGTGGTTAGAGTACTTCCTACTCTTCCAGAGGACTGGAGTTTTATTCCTTGCCCCCATGGTGGGCAGCTCATAACACCTGTAACTCATATGGCATATACTCGCAAGACACAGGCACATGAATAAAAAATAAAATAAAATCTTAAAAGCAGATTAGCACATTGGGAGACTCGGCTTTGAATAGTTTGCCTAGTCATAGTCAGCACTAACAGTTAACAACAGTTCCCCCAATAAATGAATAAAGAAAACAGGGCTAACTGGAGGTGGAAACAGGCCAACAGAGGCACAGGTGTATCAAAGCAAAAATGGAATGCACTGTCAACTGAGTGCACATGGACTGGACATGAACTTATCTATGGACCAGAGAAACTGGTTGTGACAAAGAAGAGGAAGGTGTGAAAGGGAAAAGTGCAGGAGAAAAATTTCTCATGAGGGAATTCCCAGAGGCCTTTTTGGCGTCGACTATAAAAAGGATACAATGTTAAGCTGTGCTGAACTAAGGAAGGACGATGGCAAGCCATCAAGGCCTAGAGAAGATGCATGGTCCATGCTGGAAGTTACACCAATAATACTCGGACAGCTTTTGGTCAT